CGAGCTACATCAACACCAAGTACCAGCTTGCGGACCTGATTACCAAGCCTCTTAGGAGAATCAAGTTTCTTGAGCTCTGCTCCAGGACCGGGATGGTTCAACTTTCCCACAAGACGACGCACAAGACTTAGGGGAAGAATGATGGGATAAGTCTCTGTGTTGGCTGGTCTTTATGGGGCTGCAGCATATGGTCCTTGTGGCTGCATGGTGGTCTTGCTGCCCATCAAGGACGAAGATCCTTGACCGACTAGGACAAAGATTTAGCATCTAGGACACATCATCTGCTTTAGAACAAAGATCTTAGCATCTAGCATCTTGGCATATGTTTGGCTGGCTAGCAGCCTATAAATATGTATCCCCAACCCCTCAGGTTGTCATGGCATTTGTGTGAGAAATAAATCAGAAAATTGAGTGTCATCCTATCTCGATGAGAATAAGGATTCTGCTACTACCAAGAGTAAGAATTCAGCGACTAACACGCTCAAGAGGGCTAGCATTTGTCACCGGTTCTTCCCAAGAATTACTGTGTCCAGAAACCTTGGCAATTGTGGCAAAAAAATTTCAAAATGGAACCGTCTTTTGCCTCTAACACCATCCTGAAGCCCGAGCACTAGAGGGCAATGATCTGACATCTCTGTTGCATGACTTTGTAATACACAGTCTGGATAGATGTCTTCCCAATCTCCTGTACAAAGAACCCTATCCAACTTGACCAGAGTAGGTGAAGCCCTCTCATTAGACCATGTATATCTTCGGCCCAGAAGTGGAATTTCCTTAAGTTCCATATCATTTACGAAGCGGCAAAACCTTCCCATTAAAGCCCTATTCACATTGTCATTGTTTTTATCTTCAGCAGAGTAGATCATGTTAAAATCACTGGCAAGCATCCACGGTCCGCTGCAGTGACTTCTCACCTCCCTTAGTTCTTCAAGAAAGGCTGGTTTCTCCGCATCCAAATGAGGCCCATAAATCCCAGAAAACCACCATACATTCTCTCCATCTGTTCTGAATTTGACTGAGACATAATGTCGAAGAACGCGATGGCACTCTGTTGTAAAAACCTCATTTCTCCAGGCAACCAGGATTCCTCCCCTAGTTTCTTGGGCAGGGAGGTAAACAAAAGATTGAAAAGCCTGTCCTAAAATAGAAAGCACGTCATGAACTGAGATGTGAGAAAGCTTCGTTTCTTGTAGACAAACCAAAGCCGGCTGACAAGACTGCACAGTCTGATGAACGGCATCCCGACACGCTTTATCATTAAGACCTCTTACATTCCAAATTAAGACATTACATGGAGCCATAATTGAAAAGAGAAAGTACCACTAGAATAGGGAACACCCTAAACCACAGAGATGCTAGCTATGGAGCACACCTCATCACAGGAAGGCGCATTCCAACCAAAGAGTGCTGCTAGAGCCTTCACATGATCATGACTCAAGGTTTCCTCAAACATCTTGACATACTGTCCCATCGCTTCTTCAGAAATGCCTTCATTACCAGTATCTACATTGTCCTCCCCATTCTTAAGCAGAATCGTTCATCAACAAACTGTTGTTGCAGACTTGTGATCAGAAAATGGCGACAGTTTGGCCACCCTTTTGCTTCTTCTGGGAACGAAATCCATTGGCAATGTTTTCTTCCTTGGCTTGGGAGGAGGGGGCGCTTAGAGAAGACAACCCCCATCTTAGACTAGCATCTTGAGCTTGGTAACCTTAGCTATGAAACCCGAGGTTGCAATTGGTAAGAAATAGCAAGAAAAGCAACATGAGTAGAGAGCAGAATTCTTTATCAAGAGTGAGAATTCAATGACTAAAATAGAGGATGATCCATCTCTCATCACAGCTTAGGGAATCGACTCAAGATGAACAAGGGCAACGAAGCGAGGCGCAACCATGGTCAGTAAACACACATTGGCCGAGACAGAGGGGCTTGGTGGTGGAGCCAAGGCATCCTTCTACGACGACACTCACCGGGCGAACACCTCCCTGACTGATCGATGGACCACGGGCGAAGCCACCGTTGCGCCTACAACGCACACCGGAACGAGGTCCGGCGGCGGAGGCACGAAGGCCTCAACGGCATCCGCGGAAGACAAGTCTTGCTTTCTCTCGCACACCGCCGGCCGCATCAGTCGCTTTGAGGCGGCGTGTTCTTGCCACGACGGAAGTAGGTCTTGATTGAAGGAGCTGCACCGGAGGCGGGCCACCAAGGAGTTGATCCGATGATCCAGATCGCCATGCGATCACCGGCGAGACTCCAACAATCATCAAAACGAAATCATCCAGAGGAACAAGATGCATTGGAGACATTGAGTTGGGGCCCAACAGAGGGGCCACATTAGCAACCTGGGCCGACCCATTTGTTCCGTAAACACCAAAGCGATCAAGGTTTGCTTGGGGGCTCGTTAACAAACAGCCGGTCCACATCCTTCTCCGGATCCCCCAGGATCGCGTCCTCAACACCCGAGGATGTATTAATGGCGGCGACGCCACCAAGTCATCAAAGTTTTCCTCGAAATTGGCTGGTTGCATGGGGAAGTAGGAGCAATCACAACCGCCGCCTCCAGGGCACTGAAGGCAGTACCGGCGACGCGCCTTTCCGACTCCCGTGCATGCAGCCTAACACTCTCGGGGCCACAGAAATGCAGAAACGAGGCGCAACGCCCGGGAGGGGATCCGTCCCCGAGCCATGGAGAGGACCGAGGGATCGAGTCTCTCGCCGCCGCGACGACCTTCACCATGCCCGGAGGGCGGAGCCGAGGCGCACCCCACGACACACACACGCCCAAAGAACCGCGCCACCGTAATCACAACATCATAGGACAGAGCACGCTTCAGCGGAGGGTCTTTAACAATCGGAGCTGGCGGTTCCACAACGACGAGCTCCATGGCGGCCGGAATCTTCTCAGGTTGCAAACACCATGCAGAAAGCCGGAAGGTAGAGTAATCCCGGTGATCAATCGTGTCAGGGTGCAGAGCACTGATCCAACACCACTCATCCAGGAGATGTTCCGCCGTCTCCAACTCCCACACATGAGCTGGGACGCCGCGTATCTCGACATCGACGAGCTGGGGCAGGGTGACACCAGTAGCATTCTTGAACCGAGACCAACGCCGGCAATGTAGCGTGATCAGTGGTAGGTGGATAGGCCGCCCTTCGTTGTAGACGCGAGTAGCATCATCTTCAGACGAGAAAACCAGCAGGAGCTCATTAGGCCGCAGGCGATGAAGCACCATCGAGCCACCCGGGAGATCATAGCGGCGAGCAAGTTCAGCCACCAGACCTTCAACCGGGGCAGGTGCGTGATCGCCGACATCAACACCGAAAGGGCACAACGAAGCTCCTCCTCAGCTCTATCCATTCTTTCCGAGCGAGCGATAATTCGCCTAGGCCGTGTGGCGGCGCCATCGCCGGCAACCCCCAAAGCACCATCAGCTGGAACCACCGCAGGTGGGTGACCGGTGCCTGCAGGTAGGGGGAGACCGCCCTCACCCAGTGCAGAAGAGCGCCGCCGCCTGACCCGTCGACGACGTCGCCGGCCACCAGTCTCTTGGGTTCCATCCCTTCCATTACTGCAGGCAGTATCCGGAGAATCCCTGGCCATAATCCCACCAGCAGGAGGAGGAATCAAAGCGGCGGCGCCACCGATCCCGTCACTCCCGCTGGCAAAAGTAGAGCCGGTGTCCTTTCGACGCCAGACAGCCGTGCACGGCTGGCTGATCACCGGAGGTCGAGATGCTGGCGTAGGGCGAGCAGCCATGACAAAATTGGGACACCAAAAAGCCCGATGACCCAACCGGCGGCACTTGAAACAGCGAGTCTGGTTGTTGCAGGCGGCCGCACGATGGTCCGGCAAGAAGCAGTTGAAGCACAACCCCCGGAGGTCCACAGGAACCCGGCGACGAGGTCCCCGTTCCGCACGTAGACGAGCCTTGCGGGAACGGCGGCGTTCTGCCTCCTGCCAGCCTTCAGTGTCCGGACCACGCATGGGGGGCGACGGACGGGAATCGACCGAACGCAACAGGATTCTAGGAGAGGTGCAGCGCGGCGGAATCACAGGCGGGACTGAGGCCGAACCCGCCGGAGCAGCGGGGATCGCCGCCAGGAGCACCTCCTTGAAGGAAAGGGATGGGGTGCCACCGCCTGACTTCCCGGAAGGAGGAGTTTCACGACCCCAACGCTGGGCCTTGCTACGTCCAGAAGCTGTCACGGGGGAAGGCCTAGACGCCGGTAGAGAGGGGGGAGAGGTGGCCACCGGGCTCGGAATGAGGGCCGGCGTGGGGCTGGTGGAGGCGGTTATGGCGCCCAGGCGGGTGGGAGGGAGGGGAGGTTCCATCTCTCGCTCCTCCCTGGATCTCCCTGCTCCCACTATTATTAAACCACTATCTGTGTGTGATACCCAATATAGGAATTGTAACAGTTATCTCAAATGACGACACAATTATGACTTTCTTTGTACTCAGAAATAGCACTGTTTTCTTCTAAAGCAATGAACAAACCAAAATGAAGATGTGGGGAGATGTTGGACCAAAATCGGTGAACCAAGGATTCCCCACACAGGTACATAATTCAACAGTTAACTAGTTCAGTTTCCTAGAGCCAGGTTAATGATGACTAGGTACTACATGCTAGTTGCTGCTTGACAGTCAGTTAGATGTGGAAACACAGAACAGAACATTTAACTAAAGATCTGAAATTCCTTGCTTTGCTGGGTCATGCCAGTATGATCATGGTTATAGATGCTATGTAGTATGTAGGCTGAATTTTATTTTTCAAAAAGAAGTATGATCAACTTAGCTTTACACAAAAAACATCAAAAGTTTAAAAGTTTCTGATATATCTTCAATAGATCCAGCTAATCTCAAATCACAAATTGTAACAGTTAGATCCTGGATAGGAACCCTTTGATAGCTATTCCTTTATTTCTATTTCTATTGAACAGATCCTGTATGGGATGCTTTTAACTACTGAAACTAACTATAACCACATCATGAACATACATTATGCTGTGACCAGAAGTCATTCTTGTTTATAGCCAAGCCTTTTCGAGCAGCTCTCTCAGCTTCATCCATCCGTCCAAGCTCTAGCAAAGGGAAGGCAAGCATGCCATATATGAAATTTTGATCTTGATTCTTCGGCAAAACCTGATAAGCATGGAATACCACAAATCTAGTGAACAAAAGAGCCTGTCACAACAGTATTTTTTAGGGGGTGGTAGGGTGCTGGGTTCATAAATATTTGATTATACCTACATTCACAAGTTCTTGCAATGCACCAATTTGGCACAGTAAAAATGTTTACAGGAAACGATGAAAAGGAATGCAAATATGCAACACTACTTTAACTACTGACTACCGTGCAGTAAGGGAACAGTGGGCATATAATGCTCTCAGCAATTATTTGATCTTATTTTGATACAAAGATACCATTGTTGATATTACTTGAGATGAATCAACACAAGGACATCTAGTGAAAAAGAAATGCCGCACCAACTTCAACTTCATTCAGTGAAGCACAAAATTAAGCCCATAAATACACAGGAACCCCGTTTGGCTTACTTGTTGAACGAATTTCAGGGATAAATCTGGCTTTCCCAAATAGAAGCAGATGAGCTGTGCTCTCTTGAGAGACAGGATATCCCTGGGGAATTGCTTGAGAAGCTGTCATAGACGACCATATTACAAATTAGCAATTGGTATCTGTTTATTGACTCCGCAAGTAGCAGCATTAGTATAGCCAGTCCCCCAAATCAACAAACTAAGGCATGTCAAACCTCGAAGTGCCGCTCGATGGCCACCTCCACGTCCCACCCCTCGCCCACCAGCGCGGAGAGAGTCCCGAAAACGGCCCTCTCGTACTCCGTCGCTTTCCCCTGGAAGCAGGCGCGCAAACGCACCACAGGTTAAGGTGGTCAGGTCGGCTCAGGGAACGAAAGGGGGGGAGCGGGGGGAGGTGATCGAAAGGAAGGACGATGCTAGCTCACGAGGTTGTCCTTGGCGGCGGCGAGGAAGGCGGCGGCCCCCGCGGGGTCCCTGGGGGCGACGGCGTTCGCGGCGTGCGCGGAGGCGAGGGCGCAGGTCGGGTCGGCCGCGGCGGCGCGGATGACGGCCGCCACGCGGCCGCGGCCGAAGGACATGAAGGCGGCGTAGTAGGCGTCGAGCGCCGCCGCGCAGTCGGCGGAGGACGTCCGGTACTCCTGCCCCCACATGTCCCGCCTCACCTCGCCATCCGCCGCCGCCATCTGCACCTCTCGTGACATGAGGGCGCTCGACTTCCGATCGCTGCTTGCTCCTTCGGCGAGGGGAGTGAAGGGAGAAGGGTCGGTCGCGACCGCGGGCAGCGGCGTGGAGCAGCACGGGAGACCTGTTTGCTCTGACGACACGGGCCCAGATGGTTTCTTGCCGTTGCCGATTGCTATCAAGTTGACACGGCCGTTGTTCGGCGGTCCGCGTCAGTTCGTTGGGTACGGTGGATGATAGTGCCGGATGGAGTGGGGACTGGGGTCTGGGGTGGTTCGGTGATGGGGGCTTCTTCCGATGGCCAGGCGCCTCGTGGGTGCCGGGTGCCCGGTGCCCGGTGCCGACGCCGGACGGACGCGGGCACGCGGCAGCACGGGAAACGAGCGCGAGGCAACGAGCTGAGCTGCTGAGGTGGCAGATTTTGAGGGGGTGGGAGAATCCGGGGGATAGGATCGTAGTATCGTACCGTGTCCTTTTTTTTCGATAATGCTCTGACGACACGGGCGTCCGTCCTTATCCGGACGACGCGCCTACACACACCCGTCTCACTGCTGCTGTTATTTTCCCACGGCTCGCACCTGCACGCGACGTGCCCACCCGCCCGGTGACGCACAGGCTGCGCTGCATCTTGCAACGTGCCGCGCGCCCCATCTTCTCCCCTAGCCCCACCCCGACCCACACACGCACCACCGCATCTGTCTCCGATGCCGTCGCTGTCCGGTCGGCCGGCTCCCGATGGGTACGTCCTGTCAGCGGCGACAAAGGTGCTGGAACAGCCCACGGTGTCGGGGGTGGCCTGGGAGATGGCTCTCCCTGCGGGGCTCCTCTGGGCGGCGGCCTGCCTCGGCCTCCTGTTTGGCTGGGGCTCGTCGTCGCCGCTCAAGCGGCCCCCGCCCAGGGCGGCCTCCACCCCACCAGGTAGGCAGTAGTCTCGCAGGTGAACGTTGTGTTTTAATTGTTCTAGGCGTTTTAGCCTTTTTATTTTAAGTGTTTTATCTTAACGTTGTAATAATATATCTGTGAGGTTGTATATGTTGTAATGACAAAATACGCATGTTGTAAGTCTATGTTTTAAGTGTTTCATGTGACGTATGATGCAAATGGTTCATTTAGATGTTTTAAAAGTAGATCTTCGTGTTGCATATGTTGCAATAACTATACCTACATGTTTAAGTATATGTTTCAAGTATTTTATCTGTTTCAGACTTATGTTGCAAATATTTTATCTTGATGTTTTAAAAGTAGATCTGGTCTTGCACATGTTGTAGTGCCGCCGGTGGTTGGCGGACAGCGGCCTGCCGCAGGACTTCGGCTCCTACCTCAAAATTTCATCGCGTGTCACGCCTCGGCCTATTCTTTCCTCTACCTCCCCCCCCCCTTCCCTTTCCTCCCATCCGTCTCGTCGTAGCAGTTCGAGCTCAACGAAAAACCCTACACGATGAGCGCATGAACGTTGGGTAGGCGTAATAGCCGATGTGGGGCATACGGGAAGCGTAACAGGCGCAGCAGCTTGTGCAGCAGGCGAGGCATGCGCGGACGTCCGAACGGGCGCCCGGACTAGCCACGTTGTTTTTCCCTCAAAATGACCTTTATTCTTTTTTTACTCCTGGTACTAATTATAGGGTCGAGATGGCGGACTAGAGGGGGGTGAATAGTCCTTTCTAAAATTAATTGTGTCGACTAACCAAAACAAGTGCAAAATTAAAACTATCGGTCTAGCCAAGACTACACCCATCTATCTATGTTCTCTAACACCTTCCAAAGATACTAATTAAGCAATAAAGGTGCCGAGCTAGCTAGAGCTCACCTAACCAATTCTAGAAGTAAGGTCACACAAACATATGCCACTAGTACTTCAATCAACAAGGGAGCTCCTACACATGCTAGTAAGCAAAAGTACAAAGCCACCTAATGCTCACTAACAATGCTCAATAACAAGGCAACCAATATCAAATTAGAGAGCACAAATACTTAGCTACACAAATTAAGCAATGTGACTAACAAGGTTACACAAACCAAATTAGCCACGCAAGTGAGCTACTTCTATGCTACACAAGCAATAAGATAACTAGTGAACTACACAAGCTAACTAATTACAAGAGCAACTATACAAGCACAATGTATATAAAAGTAATCACAAGCCAAGTCATGTCTTGATCTTGTCCATCTTGATCACATGACTCAATGTCATGTCTCATTTGCAATGAGCTCCTTCATCATCACATGTGTGAGCTTTGCAACATCTCCAAGCCATTTTCACCTTCATGGCATATGTTGCTCACACACATGTACCTGTGGACTAATCACTTGTATATCTCACATAAACACAATTAGTCCACCTAGGTTGTCACTCAATTACCAAAACCGCACAAGGGCCTTTCACTAGTAAAACTGTGATTTTTTTAAAACGTTACCAGAGTAGTAAAACCATGAATATTTTTCTTCGCCTACAGAGAGCTCCATTTTTTTATTGATGAATATGGGTTGTTGGGTGTGCAAGACGCAGCAAAGCGTCATGTTTGCTTGTCTTATGAGCCGTACTTTTCAAGCGAATAAACAGTGTTTTTCTCTCACAATAAATCAACCAACAATACTTTTTTCAACCTGGCTTATCAGTTCCCTCGTGCTCTGGGTATGTTATCAAAGATATTTACTATCTGGCCGTAGGGCTCTTCTAACTCTCATTGTAAACTCTAATTGTAATTTTACTCTTACCAACTTTTTAAAAACGAAAGTAATTAACGTGATTTACCTTTATTTTGATAACTCTACGAGTTTACTTCACTTTTTTAAACTGAAGCTCGCCCTCCTTTCCGATGCAAACACCACATATGCGCCACTCTCTCTGGTGACCCAGTGTTCTTTGGATTGTTGTGGATCTCGACAGGATTTGTTGTTGCTTTTGCTCCATCATCGAGACATGTACTACGAATCAAGACCCTTACTTTTTTAAAGGTATTTGTGTCCACAAATTTTAATTTACATTCAAACCCCCCTCCTCAAATTGCAATAAATTTCAAAATTATGTCCACTGTCAAAATTCAGTTATATTCAAAACATGTGGACAAAGCCCTAACAAAAGCTACGGCAAATGTGCAAGGGCAAATTTGTCTTCTTATAGCTCCTTTGACACTGTTTAAGTGCCATTGGCAGAATATGGGCAATCTCGAAGTTTGAAAAGGTAGGGAGAAAATCATAAAAGTTGAAAAACGAGGACAAAGTCATCAATCGCCTTGAAAGTAGGTGCACGAACACAAAAAAGTTTTGTTGTTATTGTAAAAGATAAATGCCAAAGTTGTGCATCAAATATTATTGATACTCAAAACTTCTTAGAAACAGAGGGAACATAATTTCATGGAACCAAGCAATAGAGCAGGCATATACTTCTCCTGCTTAGTGTCTAAGATGGTAAAATGTGATATCGTCATACTTGTACTTGTCAAATTTCAAGACTAGACAAAACTTTAGAACCATATGTGCCCATATCCAACACGTTGGAGACATACAAGTTGTATTAAAGAAGAAGAAGATCATAGTAAAAGTTTACCAAAGCAATCCTTATATATAACAGTCTTTTCCTATAAAACCATGTTGTATTTTGTAAGAAATTATTACCTCCTACTCACAAAATATTCCCACGCTATGGTTAGATTTTGACAAGGTCTTTTTAGCAAAGAGTACCCTTGCAACATGTAAGGATAGATGAACTCATATCTTTTTATTTTCTTGAAAGTGCACTACATATAATGTATATACACACTGCTGCTCCTATACATGTCTATGGAGGATTGGACCAGTACGAGATTAACAAAAAAATAACAAATGCGTCATTGTCATCGAATATGTTTTCTATCACTAACAAAAATAGCTACTCCTCCATTTCAATTTATAAGACATTTTGACTTTTCTAGAAACATTGTGTCGGTGTTTTGGACCGGCGGGTCCTCAACCAACGAGTGAAAATGTACTGCGTGTCCCTATCCTGGATGGTGATGCAAAGAGACACAAGGTTTATACTGGTTCAGGCAATAGGTGCCCTATGTACAGTCTGGGAGAGCGATCTTGTATTCCTTGCACCGAGGTGCTCGTAGTAGGGGTTTACAAGCAGGGCGAGAGAGGGAGTTATTCCCAGGTCTCTGCGTGGAGCGGCGTGGGTTGCTTGAGACGTTGATCTCTTGTAGTGAGGAGCGTGCGTAGTATAGAGTGTTGCTCGTCGCTTGCGCGTGTGTCTATCTGAGCGATGTCTCCGTGAGTGTGTGTCTGTTCGTCCCCCTAGGGGCGGCCCCGGTTACTCCCTTTTATAGTCGAAGGGGGGTACAGGGGCGGTACATGTGTTTGCTATGTGGTGCTCTTTTTGGCAGAGGCGGCATGTCCGAGCCCTGTAGCTTGTCACTGTGGCGGTATGGTCGGTGGAGCGGTCTTGTCCTCGGTGCACTAGAGTGACGCGCCGGTCACGCCCGTTCCCATGGTGGCAGGCGTGCCTTCTTCTGTTAGAGGCGAGCTGGTTACTGTAGGTTTGACTGGTGCGGAGTGCCGAGGCCGGGTTGATGCAATGGCACGGGCGCGCTGATTTCGAGGCTACAAGAGCTAGGCCTTGTGCGCGATGTGGGGGCTCCTGTAGCCTAACGCAGGGTATGGTGCGTTCTGCGGGCGACGTGCCGGTGCCAGAGTGTTGACAACATAGAGAACCAAGGCCCAGTCGATGAAGAGGCTGAACCATCGTGGGGGGCTCGGTAGGCACAAGTCCCGAGGCTACAGGAGCCCGGAAGCGGATAGCCGAGGCTCGAAGGGAGCAGTTGGTCTTGTTTGTTGATTCCGAGGCTACAAGGACCTGTACTTGACTCTCCACGCTGGCTGTCCTTGGAGCAGGGGTTAGGCAGCACAGTGCAGTACGGGCGTCAGTCGTGGGCACAGTACCGAGCACGGCGGCCGGTAACCCCCGCCCCGTCCTGTCCCAGATGGCAGGGCGTTGATGCGACTTCCGTCTTGTCGGTTACTCCAC